CAATCTAATCGTGTGGTTCTACACTTACTCAGCTGGTCAAGAGACTCATCTCTTCTTCCCTATTTCTCGAATAGCTTTCTTCATTAGAATCTTCTTGGTAAGGTATAGGTACTAGGAAAGCTGATTAAATTATTTTTGTTATGGATATAATTAGAAATATGGTGACATTACAGTCTTTGTCCAGTGAATTACAGAAGGAGAGTTGGAGGAATGAGGCTCAGTCTTGAACAAACTTTGGAATCATAAAAGAAGACTGTGGCCACTTAAACTAAGCTTCACCTATTTTGATCTGCAGCCACAGCAAAGGTCAAATGGCAATTAAAAACAAAAGAAATAAATAGCCAACAATAACAAAATACAATTAGCTTTATGTTTCTCTAGTTTTCTAAAATGTCCTGTAGGGAGAGGGAACACAATTTTTAAGGATGTCTTTTAGCTTTAAAATTGAAATGAATTATAGCAAACCGAGTTTATTATTATTACTAATTATTATTATTATTATTCACAGAATTTCATGGATTTTAAAAATGGGTTTAATGAGAGATTCCACTGTGAAGCGTTTTTAACCTAAAATGTAATTTAAGAAGTCAAATCTAGAATCTTAAAGAAGTCAAAAGGTGAGTATTTTGAAGGGTAATAAGTAAGTTAGCTTCAAACATACTTAAAGCGTTTTATTATTTATAAACCATATGTGGATGTTACTTGTAAAAATTCCAGAATGTTTTTTGTTAGTTTGATGGAAGCCAGTTTTTCTGATTCTATAATGCAAATCAGCAAAATAAGAGCAAATGTATTTTGAATAATCATCTGTGTCATTTTAATAAAGAGGCATTATTAGGCATACATATATTTTACTTTTGCATAGTAAATAGTGTCCTATTCAACTTTCAATACCTTTGGATTCTTTTATCTATCTGTCTCACTATCTCTCTATCTATGTATTTATCTAGCTATGTATCTGTCTATCTATCTACCCATCCATCATCTAACTACCTATCATAATATTTGATAAAGGAGAAGGAAACCTAGGAAAAATCTATTTAGTACAGAAACAGAGCACAAAAATAAAATCAAACAGAAAGAAACCAAGTATACTCTTAGAGATTTTTTTCACCTCATGAGAAGAAGCTAAAATAACCTCTTTCTTCTAGAGGGATCATTAAAAAGACCCTTAAAGCCATCTTCGGCTCCAGTGCACTCCCTCACACCTCCAATTAGCTGCTGAATCCTTTCTAATATTTTTACGAAAATGATAGGGCATACAAACTAGTGCCACATACTTGGAATTATTAAGCTGATGATAGCAAAAATACACAAAAATCACAAATACAACAAGTGCTAAAAAAGTTAACTCCATCAAAGAGGAGAAAAAAGTAACATTTCAAATGATGAAAAATATTTGTAAAGGTCTAACATAGAAGGTCCTGAAGAAAAACTACCACCAGCAATGAACGTACCATTTTTAAAAATGAAGATTATTTTTTAATTCATTTTAATTTCTAAATTTAAAATTTTCAACTTAGAAATAAAATATTTTTCTACAGTGAGATCACTTAAATAGGCCAAAATCCAAATAAACTAATATCAAAATGTAAACTATATTTTGCTGCTGATTTTTTGTGCTCCTGCTTTGTAACTGAAATTTGTATGAGGCATAACAACAAAATTTAGTAAGAGAAGGCAGTAAACAGTTTTCTGTCCTTTAGCTCATGTTTTCTTCCCCCAAAGGATATTTAATTTTCAAAAGAGATTTCTGAAACTATTAAAAGGTACGATGTGATATTTGATATCTACATGAGATAATTATGAAGATATAACTATCATTATCCTGCATTACTAAAGAAAGTTATTATTCAACTGTGTATATTGCAGTAAGTGTGACATCACCTGTCATGGTGATTTTAAATAAATTATCAGAGTGTATCGACCAAGACAGTAGCTGCATGCTTCTGCATGCTTCTTGTATTTACTTTAGAATAAATTGTTCTTCATAAGAAGAGTATAAAACATTGGTTGTAAGGGCAGAGTCTGAAGGGATTCATTTTTGTTGTTGTTTTATTGTTTATTTCTAATGCTGCCTTCAGTATTTATAACAGGAGAACATTTAAAACATACTTAAACTTATTAAGTGTGAGAGTAAACAGTACTTACCGCTGTGTGTGCTACGACAATAGCTAAAATGTTTTAAGTACTGAGCGAAGAAGAGTGAGCCATCAGTCTTTCAATCAATGCATATGAGCCCTTTTGATATTCTCCTCCCTGGTTTTTACATATGAGTTCAGGTTTTAGCTTCCTATTATCTTGTTATCTTGTTACAATGATAAATTAAATTGTAGATCGAAGCAAATTCTCTCATTTGAAAATAAAGAAGTATAAAAAGACATATGTTTTGCCCATATGAAAACCTAGGCTTAAGCTTCAATCTGCTATGCAGGTTAATATATTTCTAATAAGTTCCACCTTCATATAAGTAAGACAAAAATAGCATTTTTGATATTGCACGTTAAGTAAACTAATGTTGAAGTTTGTACTGTCTATAATAAGTAGTGAGAACTCAGTACGTTCTAGTCTTGTCTCTGAATCTACACAGGTACACAGAAAACCAAATACATTAATAGATAAAGACTGACAGGAAAGATAGATTATAAATGATGGAAAAGAACAAAGAGATGAGAATTACAAAGAAAAGTAGATACTAGAGACAGATGAAAGATCAGAAAGAAACCCTCAGAGAAAAAAAAAGTAATGTTGGATTACTTGAAAGCAGGACTCAAGTCAAATTTATTTTTCACATTCTTAAGAAATTCTTAAGTTTTTCTTACATGCTTAAAGCACTTAATAGATATTAAATAACTGAATAAATGAAATTAATGGATCAAGAAAAATATCTTTGCTCTTAAAAAACATTTTAAAATGAAAGCCAGTTTTTCTCTTCTGCATAATTATTAAATTATGTAAGTCTAATTTCTCACTCATAATAATTTCCAATGATTATAAATAAGGATGTGTGGAAAAGATTTGCTTTACAGCAGATATTTCTCTTGGCATTTTCATTCTTAGATTAACAATTATTTCACATGTAATAGTAATTGAAATACAGGCCAACTTGGGCTTCTAAGAATGATAGCCACCTTGTTAAGAATTTATTTTTGTTATCAAAATTGAATAGACAACTTTTTAGTATAACTCATATTTTCAGACATAATACACATAGGAGAGGTTTTTTTCCCTATAGGAGAAAATACATCAAATACACTCCTACCACATATGGTGTACAGTTAGTGGGTGAAAACGATTGGATTTCATGTGAAAAATAAGTATTTTGCTTTCCAGTTTGGGAAGTTTTATGTTTTATTAACAAAATTCCTTATGAAGATATGACAGTACATGCCAACCTCTTACTTACTATGTTCAGCTTTATGAATAGTAGCCAGTGAAATAACTATCAATCACTTTGTGCATCATACACATGATCTATACTCAGGTCTACCTCATGATCTATACTCAGGCATCAAAATTCAAGAACTTATTATGTAAAATGTATTTAAAAAGGTTCATATCTAAATAAAATATTATATGTAATAATATCACAGATTCACAACCCAACATGGACATTTCAGTCACTTCAAGTAAACATCCAATTTTACCTGGACAGTGAATATCAGCTAAACACTCAAATTGCCTCTATTAAAAATAATTTTAAAATTGTTATAGAGAAAGTTGTTCTAGAAAAATATAAGGAGAAAACTCATCAGATGGCACTTATTACTTCGAAAAAAAGGCTCTTTGCAAGGTCAATCTTAAAACAAATCTAGAAAAATTATATTCAGTACCTAAGTATTAATATATACATATATTTGTATAGTGTTTTGAATATATACAAATAAGTACATAATGTAAATATCTATAACTGTGGGAAAATATATGTCTGTATTGAAATTTTAACATGATTAAAAAAATTAATGACATAGTCTACGTATATAGAATAAGACAGATTGATTCAAAAACTTAATATGAATTATCAATCAATAGATTACTTAGAATCTATATTCAAGCAGTTTAAATGCAGTTTATCATTTAACATTACTGAAATGATAAATATTATATATACTTTAAAATGATTAAGATTTTGAGGACTAATACTTTATCGGTTAATCTAATGAGTCATAATTCTAAAATTTGATGTATGCAGTTGTCCTTTTCAATTTTACAATAGAACATAAAAGATCTTATTCATATTTGAAGACCTATGTATGAGTATCTTCATTCTCTTTGAATGTATAGCATTAGCAAATATTTCCTCATATCTGAAATAATCAATATATTGAAATTACTAGCAAAAGAAATAAAAAGCTGTATTAAAGAACTTGGAGATAGACATTGAAAAATATACATATTCATTAATTTGCATTTCCTTTTTTTATCTATCACTGTAAATAATATTTACAAAGATGCTATTTACTTTATATCTGTGAAGATTTGTAGAGAGGTCAAGTGGATAGAAAACTCTGACTCAGCCATTATTTGACCCATGAAAAAAATTTTTAAGCTAACATGCAAATTAAAGTAAACCAACATCGGTAAGAGATAAAATTGAAATCAAGTTTTCTTTCATTCAAAAATTGTTACATTTGCAATTTTAATATTGTAATTTGGTTCATTATAATGTACATATATTTGTAGTATATGCCATATTTCCCATGTTAGTGACCCTTAAAACAAGAGGGGCTAGGAAATACCCATGAAATAAGAACAGTCTAGTTTCTGGCCAAGTTCTCATTTTAAGAAATTTAAAGTCTGATATTCATGGCTTTCCTTTTTCAGTTGTGACTGTGATATTGAATAGTTGCTTTTTGTCTGGGGTAACTGTGGGAATTGCTGCTTCTCTGATATATTATCAATGGTCTCTTCCACCGTGATAAACTGCAAGTCTAGTACTAATAGGCTTATAATGATTGCTTAAGCTTTACACTTTGTAAGCATTGGAAGACTTCACTCACCTTGTTCAAGTGGTTGGCTTTTAGCTGAAGTAGTTTTCATCTTGAGTGCCTCCCTAACAGACATGTCACAGCAGGAGCCTTTGTTAGTGTCTTGGTCACTGTCAGCCTGATCACTGTCCCCGTGCCCACTGTCTCTCAGGCTGGCTCTTTCTGGGTCCTTAAATGTGGAGCTACTGAAATACACATAAGAAAAAAAAAAAGAAGAGAAAGTGTTGTCTCTACGAGTTTCAATCTGAAATGTAGCCTCTTGCAAAACAATTTTGACACGAATGCAAATGGAGAAGCTGAGAAAGTTATTTAATAGGCCTTACCTTTGAACAAACTGCTGCCTGCTGCCCATGTAATTGGGCTCTGCGGGAAAATTGTCTGTCTGTGAAAGAGAAGGAAAAAAATACGTATAGTTGTACACTGGACAAATCTCCTGCAGAGCAACAAGATTTCCTAGTGGAAAAATGATTAATAATTCAAAAATTCCCTTAATCTTCAGATTTGTACATTTTAATTAAATTGGAAATTGCTGACATGTAATTATGTACTCAGAACAATTAAATGATTCCGGTCCACAAATTACCTGTTAAAGTAAACAATGAGCCTGTCCTAACTGGCATTCTCTGTTAGCACCAGGATGGATAATACTGTCTGCAGAGTTTCACTACTTCTATATTAAGATTGAATATTTGTGGGAGGGGTGGGAAAATGATCTAATTTCTCCATATTAAAAGTGTGAATTATTTAATAATATTCATTTTTAAATATGATTACATCATCTTCAAGGATTTCATGGCCTTTTGATGTGATATCATTTAAAATCATCCACTCCTCAAGCAAAAAATACATGGCCTGTCCTGCAAATTTTGTGAGGAACAGATACAAGCCTGTCACATATGGTTGAATTCACCTCTGATTCACTATCAGCTGCACCCTGGCTATGGAAATTGTATTAAAACAGTCCAGTGGAAATAGGTATCTCTTCCTGATTCATTAAAACAAAGTAAAAGGAAAATAAAGGAGGAAAAGTTACTTAAATAACCAAGAGTAAAGACTGAGAAATCAGGCTCATCTTGTGGTTTTTACTGCTTCCAAACTGACGTGGAGGTCTGCCAAAAAGGACTGAATTCTCCTTGTGTCATGGAACAGAGTCTTTTGGGAGAAAGAGACTGGATCTTTCATCGATCTCCCTATACTGTACATTCATGCACGCTACTTCTTCATGCAGCTGACTCGGTGACAAAGCTTCTGCTGTTCTCTGCATCACTTCATATCACACCATTATGCTCTGAAGCAGTGACAGTTCGGACAAGACCCTCCAGCACACAAGTATCAGTGACACGGAGCATGTGACCCGTGGTGCAGAGGGTGCAAGGTAAGACTGAAGGTAGAGCTCTATGTGCTTTCTTTTAACAAGACCAATTTCAAAAGAGAATATTCTTTTTTATTTCAGCATAAAAATCTATTTGCCTGTGAACTATTACTTGGAAAAAGTTATGTGAAGAAAAATTACTTTAAGTATTATCTAAGTTTTCTTTTCTGGTAGCAGTTTGGGGGCAGAAAAAACTAACACAAATTTCTTAGTGCCCTTTTTTTTTTTTTTTTAAGTTTAAATGACTTTTACCAAACCACATGCAAAATGAAGATGAACAGGTGGATTCATGTCTCTCCTAATCATCTTTAACCAGTAGCTGGTAGAAAAGATTTTTCATTAACCTATTATACTAGTTTCTGGGTTCAGTGAACCATCTTAATTTTTCCTTTTATCATGACAAACTATCATCTTTTAGGGGTAAATTGACCTCCTACTAAAATCAATAGTGGGAATTTACACAGGCAAAAATATAACTCTATGGATTTAATACTAGTTTGTCTTTTGAACTGCTCAAAAACTTACTCAACCTAATAATGCTATCAGTTAAAGGCTAAGCCTATGTAGCTTAAAACACTTCATGAACAGAGAATCCTAGGTAGTGAGAAGAAAGCAAAAGGTAATGAAAAATGGAAACTAATTAGGAAGTATAACAATATTATAAATAGTCTTATGATTTTAACAGTTTTTCTTGGGGGAAGCCTCATAAAATGAGAAACCCTATTCAGTGAGACATAGGGAGGGAGTCTGGGGAAACTTTTCTTGTCCTAACAGAGCACCTATAAATGTTTGCATATTATTAGACTTCTAAATAGTTTCAACTAAATAAAAGATAAATGAAGGAATGAGATACTATTCAATGAAGAACTGGTGGAGACCATGTGCACATACATATGCATTCCAATATATGTATGTGTTTCTGTGTGCGTGTATCAGAATATTTGATGAGACTACAAAGGTATTGCTGCCCAATATTGTTTTAATTGGATGAAGAAAAACAAAAGAAGGGGGGCGGTGAGAGAAAGGATATGTATAGGGAAAGAAAGAAAAAAATAAAATCAAAAAGAAAAGCAAAAAAGAGAGAAAAGGAAATATATGAAAGAGGAGTAAGCATAGTGAAAGAAAGTAAAAAAATGAAAAAAAGCAAAGTTGATTTATGATCATATAATTTCAAAAAGTACAATTCTAAAAGTTTACAAGTTTATCAGTATCTGGCTATCAGAATTTACTAATAATGTCTGCATTCATCTATTAAAATATGTAGATAGGAATGTGAGAGATTGTGCAAATGTGTGGTTAGAATAATCAAATAGCTATTTGGCCCTTAACAAACATAAAAGTAATTCATTACAAAAACCACACAGAAGTGACATCTCCATTATGTAGGTAGGCTCCAAGGGTATCTTAAAACTAACTTAAAATAATCTTAATGTGAAATAACAGCATTTACATAGAAAAGTTAAAAAGGAAGGAAAATAAGCCATTTGTATTATAGCATTATTTTAGAAAAAGAATAACTTCTAGATATTTAAAAACCCTGTGTTCTCAAAATTGAGATTTAGCACAAACATGTAATTCTTTTAATTTAAGTCTTAGTAAAATGTGAGGGTACACACGTGTCATTTTAGGTCTCAGGAGAGTAACTAATATGCCTATTTGTAATTCTTGAAAACTATCCTCTTTAATACAAAATAATCACTCAAATGTCTTCTCCAACACAGTTTGGACACAATGACTTTTAACTGCTGTTTCAAGACTGTATCGTTTGTATCATAAGAAAATTTGTACCTTAAATTAATGTCTAGATGAACAAATGTTTTCAAATAGATATTTTAAAACTGTAGTGTGTAGTGATGTATTCCAGCTATTCAAATGTCATAAAAATGAGAAGAAAGTTGTCATGTAGAAATTGTTGTCACTGTTCATAAGCAAGGAGATCTTAACTAACGTAAAGATGACTGTGCACCAATGTTTCGTTGCAATTGTTCTTACTTTGCTTGTTAAAAATGTTAAAATTGAGTAACTTTTTTTGCATAAGACAAACAAAAAGGAAGTGACCAAACGCGTAAATTAAAGGTTTTCATGATATAATAGTTTGATTATTTGCTTTTGTACTTTTCTGTACTTGCACTCAGCTTATTATCTATAGTAAGAGAAAAATATTCAGAACTTTATCAGCAGTAATCAATAATGAACTAGACTTAAGGTATGCTGTCTTCTAAAACACGCCCATTCTAGGCTTATCCTGAAACAGAAATGATAATTTCAAAAACAAGTATCTCTGAGAAAGGTTAAAAGAAGTACATGATAAGACTGGAACTTAGAAAAGCTCCTAATTTATGAAAGTAAATTGATTTAATAGCCCACTTACATGCGGCTTAAGGTGAATACTTGAAAGCACCACAAAAAATGAAAAATGTTTTTACTATTAAAATTTTTAAATATAACAAACATTTAATAAAATGCAACAGCTCTCAATGGTGATAATTCTCAAGAAATGAAATAAGAAGAAAAATTCTATGAAGAATATCTCCAGGGGCCGGGTGTGGTGGCACACTCCTGGAATCCCAGCACTCAGGAGGTGAGGAAGGAGGATTGTTATGAGTTTGAGACCAGATTGGGCTATAATGTAAGCTCAAGACTAGACTGAACTGCATAGCAAGACCCTGTCTTAAAAAGAAAAAGAGAAAAAAAGAATATCTCCAAAAAACAAAGAAACAAACAAACAAAAAAACCTACACATAGCCTCATACTCAATGGCAAAGACTGGAAAATTTCCTCCTAGGTAAGAGGTCCAGCACCACCCCTCCTGTTCATCATTGCACTGAAAACCCTACCATGTTCAATAAGGCAAGAAAAATGAGCAAGGTGTATATGGTTAGAAACATTCACAGATAATGTAATTATATGTTCGAATACTATTTTATGTGAAATTAACAGGAATCCAAAGAAACGAAACTTTCTAGAATGAATGTATGTGTTAAGCATAGTTGCTACATTCAAGGCCATTCTAAAAACTTCATCATATTTCTAATTTCTAGAAGGACTATTAAAAAAGAAAACATCAGTGCAATTCATTCCCATTTTAATAAAAATTAAATGGTCAGTGAAAAAAATATGTATTTAAAAACTTGTATGGGATCTCTACACTGAACATTAGGAAAATGATCACATGAATTCTAAAAGTCATAAGCAAATAGAGAGCTATCTCATTGCAGTGGATTGGAAGACTCAACATAGTAATGATATTACTGTGCCCCCAAATAATCTATACCTATACTATAACTGCTTTCAAACTCGGAGCAGTATTATGTTTAAATAGAAACAAGATGATTCTTAATTTAATTTGCAAATGTAAAGAAAATATAATAGCAAAACCAATTTTGAGAAAGAATCAAAATATAGGAGTCACACTGCTCTAGGTTAAGGCTTACTACTATTAAAGGCCTGCTGAATAAGATATTGCCATATTGTAAAATAATGATCATATAGCTAAACCAGAGGTTGCTATTCAGAAGTAAACATACACAAAGGTAGACAGTTGATTTTTGACAAAGGTGCACAATCTAGTGGATAATTCAGTGGAAATGAACTGAGAATGTTTACACATGCACACATGTGTGTATACATACTTAAATGTGGATGACAGATATGGATGCAATGCACAAATCCATAATAATTTAGAAAGAAAATTAGCAGAAAGTCTTTGTGAACTTGTGTTAAGTAATGTGCAGATATGGTACAAAAGTGTGAATCACAGTGGGAAAAATAAATGTTAGCTGTGCAAAAGACACTGTTAAGATATTTAAATGTACATTGTAGACTTTAGGAATATTTAATAGTTTCACAAAATTCTGTGGAAATATAGAAAGAATTCTCAAAAGAAAACAGTAAAAAAGCAAAACACTTTACCATATAGAATGTGCTGATGGCATATGTGAAAAAAGGTTCAATTAGAAATTAGCAATTAGAAAAGCACTGATGATCACTACAACAAAGTATTATAATAT